TGAGTTCATCGCTGGGGTAACCAAATCTGGAAGTGAAAGCTGGACGTCGAAGATTTCGGGACGCGATGTTTGGAGACGTTTGTTTGGAGGCGCTTGATCTCAGACAACATGAATTCCCGTCACTCAGTAGTTTACTATATCAGGTTACTGTATCGGGTTGAAACGAGTGTGTAGTCAAGAATTCGGTCTCTAGTTCCGGTTGAAATCCTAGCCCTACTTTGGGGTCAACTAGAAGGCTTTCGATATGTGCCTGGTTCGCCATCCACGCTACAAATTCGCAGAAGCAGGAAGATCAAGAGGACTAAATTAGAAGGGGCCGGCGGAGGTACAGTCTCTGTGCTACTGCGAGGTCTATTCGCCTCTTGGGGTGGTCTTGGGCTCCCAAGGTTGAATCTTTGGTGCAGCCGTATTGTACGTCCTGAAAGCTCCGCGAGTCCCAGTGAGGTTCTCTGTGTAAGGCTGTGACATAACAACGAAATGAATAGTGTGAGCGAGATGAACTTAAACGATTGGCAGCATTTAGAACACTCAACGTACAGTTTTCCATGGGGGTTCGTATCCCTGCAGGATGGGATCCTGCGTCGGAGGTTCCTTGCGAATATGCGAAATCCACGAATGCCATTCGGGAGGTACCTGGGATGCGTTGAAGTCATGCTGGACGCCACGCCAAAATTCATGTTAATCGTGTTCAACAAGACCCTAGCGGCATCTGAAGCTCACCTGTGCATAGTCAACCCAACGGTGTCGGCCTGCATTATTTCACGAGGTTAGACCAAGCGACAAAGTCGGCGCCCATACGTATCCGTACGAACCAGGCACTTCTTCCTCTGCGTTCCTGTTCTCGTAGTAACGATTTCCGAACCTAGTGGCGAGTAATAAAGTGCATGCACAACAGTCAATAAGGAGCCCGGATTTAACAAGAACTCGGGAGGAATAGGACGAACTGATCCATGCCAACGAAACGACCGCTCTTTGCGTCGCCGATATATTGCAGCTGCCTCCACCATTCGCGGAGGCCGACTCTTCGTAGTGAGCGTATTGTCCTTGCTACGGAGACCATGATTGATTTTCTGTTCGAGTTGTAGTCCTAGTGGGAAACAGGATTGATTTCCAGACCGAGAGTCGAATGTTCGGCTGACAAAGCATGAGATACCCACACAGCGATTGGCCGACGAGACTCTTCCCCGTATTCACGAAACCAGCTAGAGCAATGGTCTGAGCAAGCGCTCATACTCTTGATGCAATTTTACATGTGTCCTGCTATCAGATATTATAAGCCTATCATGCAGAATACACGGAAGGTCTAGCAACGCCTTCCCTCAACCCCCCCCCCCACTCTCGTTCTCTCACAGGAACGTCGGCATGTATGTAGCTTCGAGCTTGGTTGCATTGGTTCACTCCTGGTATATTATTAGTGGCGATGCAGCCTGTATCATTCAGTGGTATGCATTCAGCAGCAGTGGGTTCACGTGCACCGTGTTCGGTGCGTCTACTTGACTTCCCTCCAGCCGGCATCTGGCCTTCATGCATGAAGACGCAAACGAGCCACCGTACCGGGTGCGCTAAGAGCAACATCTTCATGAAATCATTTCTCCCAAAGTGGCGCTCAACCTAGGACGAGTGATGTTGGAGTAAGTCCAGAGCTTCGTATCATAGCATTGCATCGACGAATTGACTGGTGGACAGCCTAGCATGACTCAGATTTGTCAGGAGCGCGATAAAGGCTATGTTTGATGCGTTATTGTGCGCCCAGTGTTGAGTAGCGGTGTGGCAGAAGTGCGAACCTGACATAGGTTTTTATGGGGTTGCCTTCACGTCCTCTCCACGGATAGCGCACCGGGGGCTCGGTGGTTGAGCAGGGGATTGCAGTTTCACGGGTTCTGAACCCGTGATCACCATCCCAAGGCCATGGGTTCAAATCCCATTCGGTGCTCTTTGTTTTTATATTTTCTTCTCGCAT